AGTCTTTTTATTTTTGCTTTTTTTTTGACAATACTTTACTATTCAGAGCAGTGTTTTATAATGCAGTTTAAAAGTAGAATTATGGAAAATAAAAAGAGTGAAAGGTTGGGCAAATTAGTCTGCAAAATAATAGAAGAATCATCTTTTGCTTTAGATAAAAACTTTATTATCATTATCATTATTTTTGAATTGTAATTACAGCTTTTTTTCTAGTGTTCTATTCTGTATTTCCTGTTGCTGGTTGTAGAGGCCACGTTCTACAAAACAAGTTTTCATCAAGAAAAAATCACTATGAAATAAGTTTTGTTAAGGTTGAACAGAAAAGTAGCCTGTCTGGATTGTTAATAAATTAGACTATACTGTATTTATTATTACTTCTTGATTTTTTTTTTCTTGTTGTTGCTTCAATTAATATTGAGGTATCATCTACAGTTTATTGATGTTACACATAGATGTTTTTTATTTCTTTATACGTTATACTTTTTTGAAGGATAACTAACAGAAATGTTTCCTGGAAAAATAGATTATTTAAAATCTTTAGCCAACAACACTTTTTTTTTCCTATTTTGTATGGTAAGATTTTTTTTTTTGCAAGTTTAATCAAGAAATAGTCAGTGCATTGTCTACTCGTATGTAATTTTTTGTTTGCAGATATAACTGTTTTTTTTTTCTTTTGCTGCTGTTTATCAGTTGAATGAATGATCAACTAAATTATTGCAAAATGTTGAAGAACACCTGGCAAATTGATGTTGCCAAATTTCTGTAAAAAAGAATAGCGAAAAAGTGGAACGTAACATTTGGGATAAATTGTAACATTGAAAATGAAGTTGTTGCTGTTGAAGGGGTGCAATTTGCTACAAAACTTTTTGATCTATACTTTTGAAGCATTAAAAATATATTTCAGTAGCAACTTTTTTCTTTTTTTATCTTCCTTTTTTTATATAAATATATCTTTGTTTTTTTTTCCTCTTTATGTGTCGAAATAACTTTTAAAGTACTCTTTTCCTCTGTTAATCAAAATTTATGTATTTGTTTGGTATCAGATTTGTATCGCTATCAACAACTACGACAACTGTTCCGTTTACCACAGCTATTCACCGAACCGTTTTCAGCCTTGTAACAAAAAAAAATTCTCATGACTAATGAAAAGATAGAATGAAAAAATTTTTAAGAAAGAAAACAATAACGGAAGAATATGAAGTAGAAAAAAAAATCTTTTTTGTTTGTCGTTTAACCTGATTAATGCTCTTTTGGTCGGTAATGAATAAATTTTCAACACTGCTAAACGATAGTAAACTAAATGTAAATAAGGTAGTTTTCTTTTGGGGAGATTTTAATTATTTTTTAAGCAGATGAGGTATTGTTATTGGAATTTTTAGCCAGTATTTTGTGTACAGATGAAATCTTTTTGTTGCATATCTCTTGCCCATTATTTGATTTAATAGCTTTATCATCAGTTTTACAAAATCAATTGTTCTAGTCTACCTAGCTTAAACCAAACATTAAAGCAAAAAGAAGGCATCAAGCAATTATTTTAATTTTTAAGTATATATTATTTTTGGAAACGAAGATATTGATAAAAAATTACACGTTTTTCTTGATGACAGTTTTATTTTGCTTCGTTTCTGTTTCATGTGTTGTAGTCAAAATTGTTGTACAGTTATCGCAGATTTAGCCAAAACATTGTACAGGAGAATCTTCAAAATAAGTATTTGATTTTTTGCATTGCAACAAAAAGCATACACACCTTTATGGCAAAAAAACCTTTTTACAGAGACTATGCCAATTTCACAGTTATGCACTAAAAATTTCTTATTATTTGAAAACTTTCAGTAAGAATTTTTTTGAAGGTTTTTTATTCTGAACAAAAATTTTGGTTTACAGCTCTTTTGACTTGTTCGATGCTACATTCTCAATGAATATCTAGAGTTAATTTTTTTACTTTTACTTGCATTTATCTTGTTTTATTATAATGGGCTCAAAAAGTTAGAATGCTCGAGAACATTTAGGTTTTGAACAGATTTGTATAAAAATAAAATGGCAAGCGAGAGTTTTTAATGAAGAATTACACAATAACAGATACGTGAAAGTTGAACGCCTATTAGATAATCAAAAATGGCTTTCAGAAGTATGGCTATTATAAAGCAATTCAACTCTCCTAATTGCTACAGAGTTTTCCATTTTTTTTTTAGACTTTTTATTCGTAAAGCAGGTTTTAATCGTCCCTCAATTGCTCTTGTTTTCTGTTGTTTTTTAATAATTGCTTCAAAAATTTTAAAGTGGCGTTTACGGGGAAAAAATTTTTGGTTTTTTCCCTTTTGAAATCAAGTTTTTTTTAGTTTTTGTTCTTCAGCTAATTGTTTCTCTTCTGTCTTTCTTACATTAATAATCATTCAATATTTTCCAGAAGTTTTGGTTTTCAGTTACGGTTCTATTATACTGCTGCATTTGCTCAACTAACCTGTCAAAAAACATTTGAACTGCAGAGAAAATTTTTTTGCTTGCAGAAAAGATTCTTAAGTTTAAAAATTTGATCTTAGACCTGTGTTTACCGGTCATGTCAGTCTTGTGGCTGCGTCAGCGTCATCAATTTTTAAAAACGGAAGTGTTCTCAGTTTTTGCGCCCTGATCAATGTCTATTTTTTCTGCAATTTTTGGACTCATTTTTTTTTTTTTTTTTTTTTGAGAAAAAAAACCGCTAGAAATTTTATACATTTTTTCAGCAGAGTATGTTTTTAGCATTAGAATTTTGCGTTTTATTGAATGGAAAAAATTTAAAGGTTTAGTTCACCAAGAAAGACCTTTAATTTTTGATCTTCTGTTTTGATAAATTTGTTCGTCAAGACATCACAAAGTTTATATAACGAAAACTGAAGAGACTTGGCGTTATTTTATGTATTCAAACGTCACTTTTTCATCTTTAGAGGGTTTGACGAGATAATACATAACAAAACAGTAGTTGACTGTTGCGGTAACAGCAATAATTGAGCAAAAAAAAAAAAAAAATAATAATAATAATAAATAAGTTTGCTAAGAGTTCTTTAAACAATTGCTGCCATCAACAGCAGTCTTGTGATTAGTTCGAACAAGAAAGTTAGATCACTGATGCAGTTAACTAAAATTTGCCTTATAAACTTAGCTTTTTGAAGTTCTTAACTTCTTTTATGTCAACCATCATTCAAACAAGCACAAAAAACTTGGCGATGTTTCTATCTGTTTTGTAGCGCTTTAACAGTCAAATAATTTAATTCTCAGGCATTCTATTTACTTCATAATTCCTTCATTATCTATCAGTTATGATAATCTTATAAAGCAATTGATTTACATATTCATACATCTGATTTTAAACAGCTTTGAGTTATTATAAAATTTTATTCGGCCAAATGTAACTTTGGTTTCTAGAATCAGCTATAAAAAAACAGTATGAAATGAATTTAGTTATTTGAAATAATTTACTAGAACACTCAATCAGAATGACAAATATGTTAGGCTATAACTTCTTTCTACAGCTTGTAAGAATTATATAAAAACAAATCTTTTTTTTTTGCTGTCTATTAAAGTTATCTATATGAATTACAACTTGTGGAATTTTGTATTTATTTAGTCAGACAGCATTTTGCTGTTGTAACTGTTTAGCGCTTATCATGATAGGAAATCAAAAAAATATGATCGAATTTTGTCGCTATGCATGAAGTTCTTCAACAACTTTTTTTAAGCTCTTTATTTCTTTACCTGTTCGCGGAATAGCTTTTTTTTTTCGTAATGTTTTACAACTGAGCTGAGAAAGGGAATTTGAAATAAGCGGATTTGAAATGAAAACTTTTATTTTTTATATTTTTGCCTGTTTATCACTAAACACATTTTTAGATCTTATTTCGGCCGGAAATTATTCTTAGACAAAAAAATTTTTCTTTTTCTAAAGGTGTTTAGTGATTGCCGTTGAAGGTCGACTTTCAAAATAGGCTTAGATTGTCTATTGTTTTTTAAAGAACTTTTTCTGTTTGAGATTTGATAGTTTCTTATGATACGAAACATGATTTGTCTTTTAGTTGACAGTGTTAAAAGAAGCGTGCCAAGAAAAGTTTTAATAATGTATCCCAAACAAGGAAAATTGTTTCCTAAACGGGTTTTTGGCTCGATTTAGAGGAAAGAAACTTTAATTATTAAACAGAACTATATTTTATAATACTTCCCT